AATAGAGAAATTTACAAGAAAATTGCACAAAATTACATCTTAAGCTAAAAATTGCAAGTTCAAAAAAATACAGATAAAAAAATCCAGATAAGAAAATAAACAAACAGATACAAAACAAGTAAGTGATTAATAAAATTACATTAGAAAATCGGAATAGGTAAATTTTTTTATAAAAATATTGCAAATGACATCTTAAGCTAAGAGTTGCGAAAAAAAATAAAAAATAAAAAATAAAAGAATAAAAAATTACAAAAAATAAATAAATAAAAAATAAATAAATAAAAATAAAAAAATAAATAAGCAGACATACAAAAGGAGACAAAACACAGATCCAACACAAGGACATAGACAAGACAAAATAATCGAAAACAAAGCAGACAAAACACGAAGAAGAAAACACATCAAAAAATGGACAGAACAAAGGTCAAACAGAAACACCCAGAAAAAAAAGTCACTTAGGTATTATGAAGTAAAGATTGCGATAAGCTGTTTTTGAATGAACTAAGGCTCTGGTGAAAAATATCGATCAACGTAAAATTATGAGAAAGTTTATTAAATGAGAGGGCAAGACGATGAATAAAACCATTTTTAGTGCAATTGACTCTGGAGGGAACCAAAAATAGGTCATTGCGACGAGAGCCGGATCTATTGAGCTTGAGAGGAAATAAGGAACATAAAGTAGTAACACATTTAAAAAGAAAAACCATGTCAAATATATTTTTCTTTTCACTAAGTGAGGGAAGAATGTATGAAACAATATTATAATTTTTAAAGTTGTGATTAATAAAATATAAAAAATTAGACTGGACTCTCTCAATCTGATGGGCTTGTGAAACAGAAATAGAATTATAAATAACACTGGAATAATCAAAAATAGGTCTGAATAAGGAGATATAAAGATGCAATTTGGTTTTTTGGTTGAGGGTTTTACAATGACGCCAAAATACTCCGAGCAACCGGTTACCTTTGCTAACAATGGCATCAACATGTTGGTTGAAATTAAGTTTTGAATCCAAAAGAATACCAAGATCTTTTTGTACATAAACTCTGCTATACAAGTACCCTCAAGATTATAGTTAAAAATAAAGGGAGATTTTTTTTAGACTAATAGTCATGACGACACATTTAGTGGGATTGAGAGAGATTCCAATCAGCTGACCATTTACACAGCCTATTAAGATCATCTTGAAAGGCTAAGGCGTCATTTATATTCGTGACCCTGTGGAACAGATTCAAGTCATCAGCAAACATTAAACAATGTGAATTTTGAAAAATAAAAGGGCGTCATTAATATACATATTAAACAAAAAACCCTGAGGCACTCCGGATGTGACAGGCAACCACTCTGACGCAGCACCTTTATAAGTAACCCTCTGTTTTCTGTTCTGAAGATAGTTTTGTAACCAAGAGAGTAAAGAGCCACGAATCCCAAACTTCATAGCCTTGTGGACTAGGAGGTCATGACAGACAGAATCAAAGGCCTTAGAGTAATCAGTGTACACTACATCACACTGACTCTTCTCGTCAATGGTGGTGTAGACATACGATAACATAGTTGCCAAATTTGTCTGACATGATCTCCCAGGGACAAAGCCATGTTGCTTGGGAGACAAAATGGGTGCAACATGGTTGTAAATAACATCAAAAACAATTTTTTCCAAAATTTTGGAAAGGGTAGGCAAAATTGAAATAGGACGAAAATTTGCAACAGAATCGCGAGATCCACCCTTATGGATTGGACAGATATTAGCACGCTTCCAAGCAGAAGGGAACACTACAGACGAAAAAGAGAGCTGAAAAATGTGGGTAAGAGGTGCAGACAGAGATTTAGTGCAATATTTATTAGAACTTTGTTACTTAGCCTGTCACACCCGGATGCCTTATGGGGTTGAATAGCTTGAAGAAGCTGTTCCACACGGTCAGGAAGAACTTGAACAGTTGACAGCAAATCAACTGGATAATCTCTAAGCTCGGGATAAAAGAAAAAATGTTCGTTGTTAAACACAGAATGAAAATACAAGTTGATAACAAGCTTTGGCACTGTCCGTATAGGCATCACATGCTCCATATGAAATCTTAGATGGAAGTGGAGCTTGTTTGTAATTAGCTTTCAGCCAAGACCAGAACCTTTTAGGATTCTCACTGAGTTTAACAGAAATAGATATGATCAATATTTTTCTTTTGCCAAGTGTTTAAATATACTACGAGCACTCCTAAAATCATCTTTATGAAATGGAGTATTCCATTCTTTCAATATTCTCCTTTTGTGTTCTTTAAGTTTCAATGCAGATTGCAAGGACTTATCAAACCAAGAGGGGCAGATGTTTTTTAGGAGTGATCGTAGGACTTTGTGTTGTTGTGTTTTATGTTTGATTAATTGTAAATAATTTGGTAACTGTTTTAGGGCCGAATGCGAAACCGTGTTAGCGCCACTTAGTCTAGGCCTACCTAAGTAATAAGCTGGCCTAGGGGACCCGGCCTACCAGAGAGGGGAGGCTCAGGCTAGCCTACTCTAGCCTAGGCTAGGAGGAGGTTGAAGTTGGATATTCCTCTGAATCTTCAACTGGAATTTAACGTAAGCCTACCTCCTTTGGGTTGCTGAACCGTTATGGCGAAAGATTAGTTGTTGAGAACTGAGGTAAACCTGTACACAATGTTGTACAACCTGCCTAGACAACTAGTACTTCCTGCTTGTTCTTGCAATGTGTATTGTGTAACACGGAGGAGTAGCCCACCTCGCCTTCAGCTAGGCATTTACAGCGTACCGTGTGAGTATGACCTGGCTGTGAAGGACGACAGTGAAAGGAAGACTGCGCTGGTGACTAAAAAAAAAACCCAGTCATACAATGTTCTGGTTCCCGGTGTATACAACGATTCTTTGATGGTACAATAGTGGCAAAAGCATTCATAAATCTCACTAATACAAATTTAAAGTAAAAAAAAACCATAACCATTTACCGGAAATAACTGTAGTAGTGTATGCGGTTAATAATATCATATGTGATTTATTTAGAGCTGAATCGATGTTCTTGACACCTTTTTCTTTGAAATGGATCGCACTAGCCTTGCTGATTGCTGATGTTGCTGATGGAACGCGGAAGTAAGTTGATTATAAACTTCCTGTATTCGCAAAACGGGAAGCAAGTTCGACTTACGAAGAGAGAAGACCGAAGAAGACACGGACGTGCGATACGGATCGAGTGCTTCGCGGAACACTAGGCCTACATTACTGTTTTGTTGATTAATTCTGTTTTTTAATCTCGTGAAAATATTTCGTACACCTCACAGTAAGTGTGAATTTCGGTTATGCAATTTTTAATAATCAAATCATTGAATGTCTTAAGAAAAATACGAGCATGGTATGTACTTTAGTTAGGCCTAGCTAGGTAGCTCTACTCTTCTCAACTTCTTACTTGTTCCACTACCACCATACCACCAATGATCTGCCTGGGTCATTCATGTCGGTGAAGTGAGTCTACAAGAGCTTACCTAGATTAACGCGACAGCAGCCAAATTTATTTTATACCTGAGACTACTACTAGAACAAACTTTAAAGGCTTTGCATATGCAACGTAGGTCCTACATGAGATGAAAGGAATTCTGTTTTGTTATGCCTGACCACCCATATTTTCATTTTGTTCTCAAAAAACAAATCAAAACATACTTTAGAATAGAGAGCTGGGAGGGGGAATGTCCTCCCTGCCAGCGAGTTTTTTTTTTCTCTGTTTTTTGCAGTTAAGCTTGCAAGTTTTAAGCCAATCAGAACCCGCATACATTACGTCGTGGGTCACAATAAAATTTTTTCTTCTGCGACACAGAATCTTTCAGGAGCGGATCCAGAATTCTTCAAACGGGGTGGGGTGTGGGGGGGGGGCGGCACACAGTTTCAGAATAGGTAAGTGAGTAGCACATAACATTTATTTGCATTGAAATTTTTAAAGTTTATGGGCACAACAGGGGGTGGGGGGCACATGTGTAAATAAAATTCATTTTGTAAATGTATTATTTATGTGTGGAGTAATTGCAGTAAACAAACAAACAATATTTTTTTGGATTTGTGTATTCCTAAAAGCAAGAAGAGAGGTATAATTCTTATAACAGTGATCAAGACCATTCCATAAGCGTGGCCCAGAAATGGAAATAAAATGTTGAGAAGTCATAAGTTTAACAAAGGGGATATTAGAAGTACTGTGAAGATTGTGATTATGTGATTTATATTGATTACGGAATAGAGACGACATAACTGATCGCAGAGTGCCATGAACAAACTGGAAAATAAAGGATAAAACTGAAATTTTTTGCAGTTCATTTAATTTAACAATATTGAACTTTTTAAAGTTGAGCCTCTTCACTTTCCAGCGTAGAATCATATGGTTCCATTGTCATACAAAGCCTTTACTTGGGTTTTCCATTTACGTTTCTCTGCCAAGTCTGTAGGTGTCAGATCATCAATAATATAAAATCCCTTCACTTAAAAATTTGACTGGTTCTTTAATATGTGGTTACTTATGACCCATGAGGTCTACTTCGTAAATGCTTACCTGAATAAACTGACTAATTGCCTAATCTCTCTCAAAAGAGAACACCCCTCAAAAACAATATGTGTAACTAATATGAGTGTAGGATAATAGTTTGACAAGAATAGGTGAAGAATCCCACCTTCCATCTCTATGAGCACACTCGATTGTAGGCGTGGTTGGAAATTTGAAATTTTGAAGCACATTAAGAGCGATTTCACTGCTTACATTGTTCTTATGTGAATTATGCTTGTTTTTATTAATAACATCTTTTAACTTACATAGCAGTATGGGCGTCGGTGTCGGCCTTCGACCTTTCCAAGTCCACAATTACGAGTGTTCAGCTTCTAGTCAATTTTTGGTGGGATTAAATAATTATGCTACAGTAGTTTTACCTTAAAACCAGTGGTGTAACGAAGGGGCCTGAGGCCCCTTGGCAGGGGCCCCTTTAGGGGCAGCGAAGGTCCACCTGGTGGGGGCCTAGGGGTTCACCCCGGCCACTCTGGATTTTTTAGCATTCCATGACATATTTTGATGCCTTTTTTTACACATTCAAATTTGAAGTTAATCTATTGTGATTTGACTTAAATTTTAACTAAGATATCACTAATAAACATATTACAGTAAATACCACAGACTTTAGCTTAGAAAAGGGCCTTGGTTATTCATGTGAAAAAAACTAATATTTTAATTTGCAGGGGGCCCCTTGAGGCCATGAGACCCCTGGCTTTAGCCAGTGAGAGCTCATACTGTAGCCGTTACGCAACTGTAAAGACCAAAGCTACTGTACATTACTGCACCCCCTTCCTGACTGCACCTTTAAACTATTTCATATTTCCTGAAATACTGTATTCTCATTTCAGTACGTAAATATAATGATCGCCCAAAACTTTAAACAAATATTACAAATACTGTATCTTCTAAATAAATACAGCTGAGTAAGTGAAAGATTTTACTGTAATTGTACTGTATACGAGAAAACCACTACTGTATCTGGACAATTCCACGGTAACGGAATTACAAATCACAACATTTTTTGACTTATTTTGACAAACCCAGAAAATTAGGACGTGCGTTGGATAGTAACTGTTATAGGTGTAAGTAATACATACACCTACCAATATCAAACAGTGGAAAAAAAAACTAACAATATTTTGAAATTTTGACCAGTTCTATTTCGGTAACGGAATTACGCAGAAGTTTTCAATTTTAATTTTGATCACGGAACATAATATTCCGCCTGAATATTATAACCAATTAACATTAGTGACTGGTATCACAGTTTGGACATAAGGAGTGGCTAGATTGTTAATGAAAGTTTGCTGCTCATATATTTATGGTTTATTTGTATTTGATTAGTTTTGTTTGGTAACGGAATTACGTGGCACGGTAACGGAATTATATGTCTGATTACTGATTAGAATAAAATATCAAACTATTGAAAAAAGAATTGGAAATAATCTTTAGTGTACTTGTAGAAGTGCATCATATGATTTTAAGCTACTTTAACCAAGTACAGTAGGCAGTATTAGCTGTTGCAAGTTTTATTTTTGTAACGGAATTACGCAGAAATTATCAATTTCAATTTTTTTCAAGTAACACAAAGTTCTGTCTGAATATTATAACCAACTAACAACATCAATGACTGGCATCATATTCTGGACATAATATGTGGCTAAATTGTTAAGAAAGTTTGCAGCTCATATATCTATGGTTAACTGTATTTGTATGGTTTTGTTTGGAAACGGACGTCACATTAATGGAGTTACATGTCCGATATAACATGGAGGTGGAATAAAATATCAAACTATTCAAAAATAATTTGTTGATAGTATTTAGTGTACTGTACTTTATAAAACTACATTATATGATTCTAAGCTAATTTAACTACAGTACAGTAGGCATAAATATTATCTGTTGCACTCGCACCTACTATACCCACAATAATCCGAAAAGGCTATTCTAGAATGCCTATTCATCTATGGTTCACCTAGCTCGGTACTATGCAAGATCTATCCACGATATCTATGAATGTCATCAATTGGCCACACAAATTAACAAAATTCAGTTATTTTAACAGACTTTAGGGTAAACTTGTCATTGTGACTTTCAAGAACAGAACAAATTTGTTGGCATTCTTCTGGCAAAAGTACTTAACAACCACCTACTTCAGGTCGGATCTATGGACAATTTATTATCACTTTTGACTGTAGGTTACTTGTACCATCATTAAAGCTTATTACTTCCTTCAACTTCATCACTATCATCAGCATCATCACCACTGACATCTGCATCATCACAATCATCAACATTATCACTAAATTCAGCTTATCACTATCTTCACGGTTACTAGGGCCGTTGCTAAGGTAATTTGCTGCCATCTTGTCATTTTAATAGGCTCCATTGGACATAAGTATCAATTTGAATCAATGCTATGGAGGAATATGGGCAGAATATTTTGTAATAGTGAATTAAGTTCTATTAACTGTATTCCTATGACCCAATGTAATTCCGTTACCATGTAATTCCGTTACCAAATGTAATTAATTCCGTTACCAGGTTTTCTACAAAACTAGCGAAGATCAAAGAAAACTGTTGAGTGATAATGGTAAAGGTGTATGACTAGTAAGAGAATATAAACTAACTTGAGTTTATGGACATTGGTTTGCTCTCAGAAAAACATTTATCACTTTTTTGGTAACAGAATTACGGTCTGATATTACCCAATACTTGCCAACTTGCTGTGAAAATTGTAAGATGCCAGGTCAGAGTCTATCTCAACATTTGGGTTCTAGGGACCATTAAGTTAAATATTCAGAATAATTAAAGTCAGGAAAGGTTGAGTTAAGCATAATTGGGGATTATTTTTAAAATTAGCTATTTTTTTTTGTTTTTAAATTGTGAATCATATGCTCAAATATACCAGTGGTTTTTGAAAGAATATGAATTAATAATGACTAAAATTTCACTTCGAACCAAATTCTACATATGTTTCTGCTCTGAAAATGAAACCCATGTTTAGATACAAGTGGATTAAATTTTTGGTGGTTTTGGCCTTCCAATGTGGAATTGCCCATCTACTGTACTGTACAGTATGTAGGCTAAAGCTTATACAGTACAGTAAATACATTTTTACATTGAGTATTTTAAGATAAATTTTAATGCTTATCTGAATATTTTTATATCTCAAATACCTTTTAAATTAAATTTGCTCATTTATTGATTTTTACTCATTTTTCTATTTTTCAATATTTATCTTTCGATTTTTTATCTTTCTGAAGAATTTTATATTGTATGTATTGTGTTCTTCTTGTAAAGGGTCTCCACTCGACAGTGATTGATTTTACTTTTGGAGTGTCCTGTCTCTGTTTTTTGTACTTTTGTGATTGTTCTTTGCTGTAAATTTTCTATTTATGTACATTCTAATTGTCTAAGACAAATAAATGAAATGAAATGAAATAGTATATTTTGACTTGAGTTAACAATTAGACAAATCCAGAGTAACTGCAGTTTGATGGAGATAACAATAAGGAAGTAGAGTATGAATAATGAAATCAAGAAAATGTTATGATAGCCATCAGAATGAAGAAGGCGTGAAAAAAACAAAATTCAATTATTCTAACAAACTTTAGGGTAAACTTGTCATTGTGACTTTCAAGAACCTGACCAACAAATTTGTTGGCATTCTTCTGGCAAAAATACTTAGCAACCACCTACTTCATGTCGGATCTACTGTAGGCAATTTATTATCACTTTTGACTGTAGGCCTAACATAATACTTGTATCATCATAAGCTTGCTTACTTCCTTCAACTTCACCACTATCACCAGCATCATCAATCACATCTGCATCATCACAATTATCAACATCATCACTAAATTCAACTTATCACTATCTTCACGGTTACTAGGGCCGTTGCTAAGGTAATTTGCTGCCATCTTGTCATTTTAATAGGCTCCATTGGACATAAGTATCAATTTGAATCAATGCTATGGAGGAATATGGGCAGAATATTTTGTAATAGTGAATTAAGTTCTATTAACTGTATTCCTATGACCCAATGTAATTCCGTTACCATGTAATTCCGTTACCAAATGTAATTAATTCTGTTACCAGGTTTTCTACAAAACTAGCGAAGATCAAAGAAAACTGTTGAGTGATAATGGTAAAGGTGTATGACTAGTAAGAGAATATAAAGTTACTTGAGTTTATGGACATTGGTTTGCTCTCAGAAAAACATTTATCACTTTTTTGGTAACAGAATTACGGTCTGATATTACCCAATACTTGCCAACTTGCTGTGAAAATTGTAAGATGCCAGGTCAGAGTCTATCTCAACATTTGGGTTCTAGGGACCATTAAGTTAAATATTCAGAATAATTAAAGTCAGGAAAGGTTGAGTTAAGCATAATTGGGGATTATTTTTAAAATTAGCTATTTTTTTTTGTTTTTAAATTGTGAATCATATGCTCAAATATACCGGTGGTTTTTGAAGAATATAAATTAATAATGACTAAAATTTCACTTCGAACCAAATTCTACATATGTTTCTGCTCTGAAAATGAAACCCATGTTTAGATACAAGTGGATTAAATTTCAATGTGGAATTGCCCATCTACTGTACTGTACAGTATGTAGGCTAAAGCTTATACAGTACAGTAAATACATTTTTACATTGAGTATTTTAAGATAAATTTGAATGCTTATCTGAATATTTTTATATCTCAAATACCTTTTAAATTAAATTTGCTCATTTATTGATTTTTACTCATTTTTCTATTTTTCAATATTTATCTTTCGATTTTTTATCTTTGTGAAGAATTTTATATTGTATGTATTGTGTTCTTCTTGTAAAGGGCCTCCACTCGACAGTGATTGATTTTACTTTTGGAGTGTCCTGTCTCTGTTTTTTGTACTTTTGTGATTGTTCTTTGCTGTTTCTATTTATGTACATTCTAATTGTCTAAGACAAATAAATGAAATGAAATGAAATAGTATATTTTGACTTGAGTTAACAATTAGACATATCCAGAGTAACTGCAGTTTGATGGAGATAACAATAAGGAAGTAGAGTATGAATAATGAAATCAAGAAAATGTTATGATAGCCGTCAGAATGAAGAAGGCGTGAAATCTATTTCCTATTTTAACCACTATACTGTAGCAATGTTTTTTTAATTAGCCTGAAGTTGGATAAAATACTTCAAATGCCAGATACTATTTTACAACTGTTAGCAGTCATTGCAATTATTGTATGAATTAATATGATCCGTATAAACAAAATTGAATAGTAGTAATAATGTACTGTAGTTCCTAAATCTCATACTTAACTATTCCCTTCCCCCCCTCCCATTTTTGAAATATTTGTTCATTATAAATTTGTTCATTGTAATAATAATGACTTAAGTTGCGAAAAAAAAATTTTGAAATTGAGAGGAGTATGCAACCAAAAGCAGTGGCAGATTTTCTACTTTTTAAAAACCTGTGCCCTGCCCCTTATTGGATCCTGAAAAGTTCATTTACATAGAGGATATCCCCCAATACTCATTATACTTAATCCATAAAAATTGTCAACAGAACACCCGAATAGAAGAAACTACCGAAGGCCTGCAGTAGTTAAAACTGTAATAGTTTATGAAGATGTTGATGAGTCAAATTTTAATTTAAAAAAAAACAATTGGTGGTACAGTATCTTTGAGTAGAGTAGAGAAATGCTTCAGATTATCAATAATTGATACATGACTTGCCTTTTGGCCAAAATCCAGCATTAAGGTCACAAAGAGAAATGTAAAAAAGAGTTAATGGTAATGTATATTTTCTTATGGTAATTTTCAATATTTTGTTGAGAATATAATATTTCAACATTAGATTGAATATAAAATGTACTTAGGATAGCCACTTGTGAAATTTGAGCAAGTACTGTGAACTCATATGTATCAGATTATACTCTCATTTTAACACTTACACTGATTAGTCATTGAACTCATTACCATAATGATATGTATCTTATTAGCATAATCATAGTACATTAAATCTTGCTGTAGCATGCATTTCGAATTGAAATTAATTTATCATTGTTTTATCAATACAGTTTAATTTTAATATTATATTTTTACCATTTTTTTGTGGCGTATTTTTGTATTTTTATAGCAAATTAACCCTTTAGACAGAAAGTCTTATTAATATTTACTGAATGTTTTCCATTAATACTACGGTATTCATTAACGTAATTGTAATGCAGTATTTTCATATTTAACTTCCTTTTATAAATCCTCTTTTTTAGATGGGAATAAGCAACAAACAAAATATGTCTTACAGCATAAAAATAAAGGAAACTGAAGAGAGACAGACCTGTCTCTTAAACCCTTATCATATGGACTTGTTGAAATATATTCCTGTGTGTAATCATTTGAATATTTGGATTATATTGGTCTTGATAGATATCTAAAAATCAATATGAATTCTAACACTATAACCGTTGCATTTCTTTTCACTGGCATAATTATAAATGTTATTTCTTGGCTCAGTTTTTACTAAGAGATCATTGATTTAATTCATCTTGATTTCTCATCTGTCCCAAAAGCCTATGGGTTCTCAGGGGGTGAAGCCCTGGGCCTGCAGTCCAAAGGGGTCCCTGAAGTGAGTGAAAATAAAAGTTGATTTGTAGTTACATAATAATTACCCTATATTCTTTAATGATTCTGACATTGCCTTTCATGCAGTCTTTTCAGCCTTAATATTCATAATGTTCTTAGGTTAGTGAACACTTTACTGAACTTTGATGGGCCCCAACACAATTTTGCACAACTCGTCCCCACACCACTGCATTGATTTTGTACCAATTACCATCTAACATTTTATTAAGAAACATCATCAAAATGATATTTAGGTTATTATTTATATTACACTAAACAGCAATTGAAAGTGTAATGTGTTACAAAGGAACCCTGTAACCAAGAGGCACCTTTGTACTGTAAACCAAAATTCCAGATATAAATTGTCAGTTTTCTGTATCGCTGAAGCCTTCATAACGATTTTGATTCTAAATTTATTGCAAATGTAGTTAAATTCAAGTTGCTTCCTTTAGCTATTACTAGGATACATGACATGCAGTACTGTACACTGGATACTCAGTTCTGTGAGGAAATCACTATAAAAGTCTTGGTTTTGAAGTTTAAACTGTGCCAGAAATATGTCTTGGGAAGCAATGTATGATTGCCTTTATAATATATATAATTATTACATAATTCTAAAGCCTCAATTCACAATCAGGCCCGTAGCCAGGTCTTTCCAAGGGGGGGTTTTCTGGGCGTGAGGTCCACGGTCGAAGCCCCGGTGGGGTCGGCAAAACCCCCAAAGCAAGAGGATTTTTGTGCTTTATGGGTCTAAATAATGCTATATAAGCAGATATTTTTGAAAACGTCTGTGAGTGGGTGGGTCTGCAGTGCATTAATTGGGTTGGAGGACTTATTTGGGAAATTTAAAGAGGGTAATTCAAACTAAATCTATTTTTGATTATTACTGAAATGTTTTTTTTCTTTTTTAATGCAGCTGCTAGACAAGATCATACATCATAGACTCTGATGCATAGTTGACCCCTTAAAATGAGTGACAACAATTGGGTCACACGTCAGCCAAAAGTTAAAGTTGAATCAATGATGTAAGTATAATTTGTTATCTCTTTTGAGAAACCAAATGTAAAATTCATACATTTCATATTTTTAAAATAATATATTCATAAAAATGTTCTACTTTAGATGGTTCCATGGAAAAATATCTCGGGAAGAGGCAGAGCAGTTATTAAAGCCGTGGAGGACCGGTCAGTACTTGGTGCGGGAGAGTACCCACTTCCCAGGGGATTACACATTATGCGTTTGCATCTCCGGCAAAGTTGAACATTACCATGTGATATATAAAGACCGCAAGTTGACAATTGATGAAGAGGGATTTTTTGATGATTTGACGAAATTAGTAGAGGTATACAATTGTACTTTTTACTTGTTTGTTTAGATTTTAAAGAAATATATTGTTTATCATTAGAAAATTGTTAATTATATATTATTAAATGACCTCATTTGAACTTAGTATACAGTAGCTGTATATTAGTGGTGGAAATGCTTAACTTCCAAACCCAAGGCCCCGGGTACAAATCTAGTTCGACATAATGAATTCTCATAGTTAAAGGTGGTGTCTATAAAACGAAGACCCAAGACCCAAAAAAGAAGATTTTTTCTCTTATTTTAATGATAATACGCCAGGCTGTCACAAAATCAAAATTATGAGATTATTTGGATGTCTGTTTGTGAAATTTTCAAGGGTCTTCGTTTTATAGATACTCTATAGGTGTCTACAAAACGAAGACCGAAGACCTGAAAAACAAAGATCTCCATTTTTTTCTCGATTACCTTTTTGAAAATATTTCGAAATCATTATAAAACCATTGCCAAGTTCCTCTTTAATCATCTACTTGGGAATATGTAGAATATCAAATGTAACCAAGGGTCTGTTTTATAGACATCCTATATGGGTGGAGGGGTGGCTATAAAATGAAGACCGAAGACCTAAAAACGAAGACCTATATTTTTTCTATTTTATTGTAGTAATACTAAATCAGGCTGATTACTGTATTTTGACTATTCCTACTGTTTATATTAATATGAAAAAAAGTTTATAAATGAAATATTTAAGGTTCTTGTAGGCCCCAAAATATGTGTACCGCTAGGCCAAGTCTACTTCCATTTAAAGAGCTGAGCAGTAGCACCAAGAAGTGCTCTGCTGCGGACAGGATTGGCTGCCACCTTGGAACTGGAATAAAGAGTAAATCATTAAATTGACTTGGATTCAGGCAATAATGTGCTAGAAAGATCAATGTCATACATACAGTGAATGTAGTGATTTAAAAACAATATTTTCAACACGATTGAGAGAAAAAAATGTGGGTCTTCTTTCCTCGGGTCTTCGGTCTTTGATTTGTAGACACCCATATCGGGTGTCTGTAAAATGAAAACCCTTAATTATGTCATCCATCCATGTTGGTAACCAAATGACCGATGCTACACACATGCATCACTATACAGCATTCCTACAGTACTGTTTATTTTAACATGAAAAAAGTTTATGAATGAAATATTCAAGGTTTATGTATGCCTCCAAAATTCTGATACCGCTAGGCCAACCCTTTTAGCTATTTCTTGATATTTCTATTTTATTCCGATGACGTATTAATGAAAGAGGTACAGTACTTGGCAATAGTTTTATGATGATTTTAAATTACTTTCAATAAAGTAATTGAGATTGAAATAATTGGAGGTCTCCATTTTTCAGGTCTTCGGTCTTTAGTTTTGTAGACATTCGTATAGTGTGTCTATAAAACGAAAACCCTTGAAAATTTCACAAACAGACATCAAATAATCTTGGAATTTTGATTTATTGTGACAGCCTGGTGTATTATCATTAAAATAAAAGAGAACAAAATAGATATCTTCGTTTTTGGGTCTTCGGTCTTCATTTTATAGAAACCCTATAGTATCTACTGTAAAGTTACCTGTACCCTAAAGCCTTACAAGTTACAGTATATAAGTCTTCTACTGTATAGTTAAAAGCATACCTGTTTAAAATGGTATCCCAGAATAATGTAGGAAAATAAATAATTAACACCTCATCCTACATCCTGGGGTTTTTTTTTTCAATTTATTATTCAGTACTGTACTCTGCAGCCATCAAGCAGTAGGATAGTGTAGTACTTTTATTAATCTGTCTTCCTGTTTTTAGTAAACTGTACAGTAGTTAGTAATGTTATTTTTGTTTATATTTTAGTCATAGCACATACTGTAGAAACCATGTGCTTTGTAAGTTTGTCGCAATCTATTTCCTCTAAGGTAATGCTGTACAGTATTGCATTTCAGTTGGTAGCCTCATCACAACAGGAAGAAGCGGGATTTGAACATAGACGGTTGTAGGCAAGGTTAATATATATAGTAGCTGTGCGAGGATAATGGCAAACACTACAACTGTCTTTAGGATATACAATACATTGTTATATGACAATGAAGGCAAATATTTAGATAGAATGCATACATTATGTATGTTGACATAATGCTTGGAATAAAAGATAAACTCACAATGTAGATAATATTTGGGCACAGAGAGTACTAAAAGTTAGACATTTGTTCATGTTTGTTTGTAGTCTGGTTCTTATCTCAGTTGAGCTAAGTTTATATTACATTATCTATTTCTGATTGTCTGCAACATAGTGATTAGCCTCAATCACTTGCAGTACATAAGAAAAAAACAACTACCAATATAAAAACCAGATTCTATGTAACCCTATGAGCCCAATCACACTTATTAGGCCGGCCCAGGGTCGCCTTAAATTACGGCCAACTCATGGCCGACTCAACTTCATTTCCGTTCACAGTTATTTTTTTAAGTCGGCCCAGGGCCGCCTTACGGACGTTCACACTTCTTCTTTTGGGCCGAGTCGATGAATTGCAGGACAGGAAGTTGAGGCGATCGCATTTTGATGGCGGAACGGTAAATCACAACCTAGCATAAACACATGGAATTCACGCGAAACATGAACCTAATTTCAAAAATTGTCCTTGTACTTTTTCGATTTTTTAAGCGGATAGCAATTTGCTTCATGATTATGGCGACGATAATTCTTATAATAACCAAGGCCTATAATTAGCGCAGCTCGACTTTACTCTGTGCAAAGCCAGACTCACGATTTCGAAAGTCCATACCTGTATATTGTAAACTGTCTATATAGGCCTATATTGCTGTCAATGTTCGGCCACAGACTGGAGACACTGATTGTGAATAAGTAGAGATCTATCTATTTGGCAATAATAATTATTTTCATATTAGGTTCATTCACAAACAATTTTTGACGCTTTTTAGAACCAGCTTCGCTCATAACAAAAACAAACGATTATGTTTTTTTCTGTCCTCGGGGTCACGTGAGTAGCTTCACGAACGTCGACACAAAATGCACGTGGTTGGTGAGGATGACGTTCACAAAAAAATGATACCACTATACAGTGTTATAATTTTAGAATATGTGTGCTATACAAAAACAGGGTTTCTCGAGCTTGTAATAGGCCAATGTATTTTTTATCTACTGGAAATTCTTTAACTGTAGAAAAGAAAGTCGTCATCTGTCAAACTGCCCATGCGTAAGCTTTGTATCATGTGGTATTCCCAATGCCTACAACTTGGTTTGTGATGATGCTTATGCTTCGCACGGAGGCTGTGAGTAATAATTAGTTAGGCATGGAGATCTTATATGAAAACTTTTATTCAAAAACAATAGTTCAACTAAATACAAATTACTTTACAGTTTCCTTAACAATTTTATTTCTCAATGGTGTTTTTTTGCGCAAGTCAGTTCGAATGAATGTTGTGGTTAGATAAGATGTCAAAATCGAGCAATCAGAGCGAACTTGGGCCGGCTGAGGTTCGGCTTACGTTCAGATATAGAGTTGGGTCAGCCCAGGGCCAGCCCTGGGCCCGCATTGCGGGACCTGAGCCGACTCAAAAGTCGGATTAACTTTAGGTCGGGTCAGGGCCGGCTTAACATTTATTGATTGTTCACACTTAAAAATTGCCGGCCCTGAGGCGGCCCTGGGCCGACGTAACTTTCAAGTGTGATTGGGCTCTATGACTCTCCAAATAACCTGATAGGTACTGTAAGGATGTACATCTTAATATCTCAAAGGATGTTGCTTCTAGGGCTTTTCATTCTCAACCCAATCCCGCTGATAGCCTTTATGTCTCAATGGCCCAAATAGAAATAATTATTTTATGAGGGTATTACAATTTCAGCATGATTTTAAGGTTTTGCTGCCCAATAAAGGAGGGGGAAGGTGGAAGATATTGTATAAAGAACTGGATTTCATTTGTAAGCATAAATCATGACTTTATACAGTACTTGCCTTTTGATTGTATTGCATCTCTTACAGTACCTTAAGCCTGGTTGCCTTGAAATCGCTACACTATCGCCACAGTTTTTTTTAATTGCAATCGTTGCACTAGCGTAGCGGTCCCCTACGCAATCAGGAAGACTCCCCGATACAACCAACCAATCAGCATCACCGAAAGCTGTTGGCAATAGCGTGTAGCGATTGTACAGTATGGAAACTAAGCTTTAGTTTACTTGATTTTATAATGATATAATAACTCTGTTTACACTCAGGGTTTTAGTAAACATGTGTAATGTAGGCTTTAACAGTATATAAATACACATAAGGAAGTTAACATGGTAAATATTGTTGTTAATTACAGTTTTGAAAAGTCTATAAATTCAGAAAAAAAATTATAAAATTCTGTTTCCTTGTTGATGCAATAATGAGTGAAACACTTAAAAGTCACCACAGTGACATGTCTCCTCTACAGGTCACCATTTTTAGTATAGATAATTTGTTTGTACAGGTCACTATTTTTTAATATCATATATACAGTAGAACCTCGTTTTTATGTACCCCAGTTAAACGAACCCTCGGTTTTACATACGCCTCGTATCGACGATGACGTCATCAAACAATAAACAAACCATAATACAACGTATTTTCATTAAACTGCAACGTTAATTGAGTCTAATACCGGGTTGTTATAATCTAAAACCATGTGAACTGAGTGAGATGACCAACTACCGATGGGGCTCAAAATAATTGATTTCCTTCTTAGTTTCGTGTGGTAAACCATGGAAGAACTCGTCTGGTCGAATTTTCTACACGAAGCTGAGTAGACATAGTTTCATACACGAACGCTAATTGGTTGGCTGGCCCAGTGCAGCACACATGGTTTTAGTTTGTCTCAACAGGCCCAGACAACACCACAGCTCTGTTGTTCAGAATAGGCATGAAGGGGAATTCCCAAGTAATACCCTTGTCATATAGGTAATCTTACAATATTTTCATGTTCTTTATTTTAGTTAATAAAAGATATAAAGTGATGAATTAATACACTAGACACATGGTTTTATTTGAACACTTTAGTATGACATCGTAAAGTGATGAATAAAAACACTAAACGCATGGTTTTATTTGTAAGCCTAGAGGCTAGGTCTAGCTTAGGTAACATCGTTCGTTCGTACATACGTTCATTGAGCGTTACCACAAATTTAACCCAACCTCTATTTTACGAATCTCCCGATTTACGTACGCCCTCCGGTCCCGTACCATACGTAAAATCGAGGTTCTACTGTAACTATTCCTGACGATGACATAATTAATGTTGAAATATTGAATCCCTACACAATGGCGTGCATTTCGATACTTGGGAGTATGTATTATGCTATCATAACTAATGTCATTTAAAAAAATTATATTAAATGAGTTTTATGTAATTGTTTAATTTCAACAGCATTACAAAGATGATGCTGATGGTCTGGTTTCGCACCTCATCACACCGGTTCCAAAGAAAGGTTATGCCTTCAAAGAAAGTAAGTTATCAAAACCTTCATCATGCATTCATTAGTATTTATTTACTGTACCTTGAAATATAAGTTTGATTTTTAGTTTGTGCATGTGTAGGTGAACATATTGGTATAAATTTTAATGTATTTACCTACGAAATATGGCAGTTATGGCAATTTATAAATGACGATATTACGCTAGGCCCACAGATTCTCCTCCGGTTCACTGTCTGATAATCAGACTACACCATTTTCAATGGGGCGTGCTAGCTAGGCTGTACAGTGTGTGTAGTAGAAACATCTGTAATGTTAATGAATGGGCATATTTCTGGACAGTTAAAAATGTATAGGCCTAGCCTAATAATAAATACCCCTGGTGGTACAGTAGTACAGTCCGCATGCTTCAATGACCAGCCGTTGAATTCGCATCGACGAGATAAAGGGATTATCAAACCGTACGCAAAGGCAAATTTGACCAACTGGGTGATCAAACTTATCCTAATGCTTCTAACATTAAGACTGAACCCCAATTTTAAAAGGGAGTCATGGAAAAATTATTTGTACTATATTGTTACGCAGCAGTAAATATTGAGCTAAAGATAAACTTGTAGATGACTTGAAAATTAGAACAAGGAAATATGGTCACCAATATTATTAGAACACAAGTCTTCATTGTCCAAAAAGGAAATTTGTTTTGTTAATAGAGCTCATAAAATTAGAAATGAGTAAGAAGCATATAGTAATTACTGATACTATGGTTGCTGATGAAAAACATTTATAAATAATGCATTACTGTGAGGACTACTATAATGAAATGTTGAATAAATAAATAATACAAACCATAATGTAGTCCTAAGTTTAAAATACTGTATCATATTAATTCATATCCTATTGTTTCTTACCTTTAAGATAATGCACAGCATATTCTTCGAAATGGTTAGTATTCTCATCCCAAAGTTTAAATTTTGAAGATCTTTCTATGAGAGTTTGTGCTTATTATAGTTCTCAGTATACTTTACCTCATTTAATTCATCTTTTTCTATGTTGATCTCTCATCTTTTTGTGTTTTTTGTGCTTATGATTTAAAATGCTTTTTAGTTTAAAATGCTTTTGGTTCAAAATGTTTTGCTATTAGTATTACCTTGTCATGTGATACAGTAGTTGTGTATAATTGTGCTATGATGTTATCGTGTGCTTGTAAAAAGTTTTTTCCATTATCTGTGCAGTACTGTAAGAGCATCCATTAACAAAAAATATTGGTATAAAATACACCTTTGTTTCTCTTAATTACCTGTAAACATAAAAATTCTATCCCTTTTTTGCTTGCTAGTAGTATGTAGTATGAATCATTCATAAATATACATTTCTTTTTATTTGATCAATTGTTTGTAATATGAGGATAATATAATTGTATCTGGTCTCATGGCTTATTTTTTAAAGGTTCCCGATTGTGAGATTGTACTGTATGCCAGGCTGCATATTTACTCATTATTCAATATTTCATGTGGAAGATATGGTTGAGAATGTAATTCGTACCAGTAGGCCAATTCACTGCTGAAATTGTTTTATTGTTGCTGTATCAAAATGATTGAATACCATTAGTACAGTCGTATTTGCAAAGTAAATCAGCTGTGACTGACATGACAATAATGTGATTTCTGAAGAATCTATGGACCAGAAAACACTAAAATTGTTCTGGGTTGAACATATAGTCCATTGTATCATCACTGATTCCAGTATTTGGATATCTAAAAATAGTCTGTCAGTACTTGTTATGAAAAGAAAGATTTGAGGGTGGTACAGTACTTGGATCAGTATGGTAGCCAAATGATGTGTGGAAACCAAATAAAGTACAATAGAACCCCTATTAAGTGGACACCTTTGGGACCAAAAAAAGTGTCCCCATAACATGGGTGTCCCCTGAGTAGAAGGTATCCCTATTCAGGGGACACTAACCAAAAACATGAAATTGTCCCTTTAATGGGTGGTGTCCCCCTAATAGGAATTGGCTGTAGTGTTAAAAGATTTATTTCCCCTGGTTTCACAGAAAAGTGTCCCCTTAATAGGGGTTTGCCCTGAATAGGGATGTTCCAAAGTAGGGGTTTTACTGTAGTTGGCAAAGTAATTGGTTTAAATCTCAATGAGAATTGCTCTCAAAAGTAATCTAAAATGGGGTGGTAGATTAGTATTGTGTAAAGATGGTCACTTTTCTTCAACTAATTTCATTTTAAAGTTTAAATTATTTTCTGTACTCTGATAAATGTGGCATACTATCAGTAGTTGATATATTCTTTTCTTTTTTTCAGAGGGTTGGGCCATCAACAGAAATGAAATAACAGTTGGGAAGGTCTTAGGAAGTGGACAGTTTGGGGGTAAGTAGTATGTTGATGAAGGGGGGAGGGGGTGTGAAACTGATAATTCTCTGCAACTTGCAGTCACAGTTCATTTGGAATATACTTGGACTTAAATGTAATTTACATATTGTTGAGGTGGGTGAAGGTGTACCGTACTACTGATTGAATAAATGTTTTAAAAATTATTTATATGGCCGGAATAGCTTTTGACTAAAGCCAATGTCCAGTTGGTAATTTTAATGGAAACTAACTGCTCATGATAATGTAGGTCAGAGTGCAGTAATTTATATTAGAGATAGTCCTCTATAAGGATGTTGCCATGCACTTATAGATTAGTTATAAGCTTTAGTGTAGAATTCTCATCAAGATCTTAATCTACCAGGATTGTATTACTGTAATAAAGGTGATATTGCAGAGTGTTTTGTATGAAGAAATTATAGAATAAGCTTATCTGTTTACAGTAGAATGTATTATTTTATTATTGTATTCTACATTTTTTGTACATGACATCATTATTTATAATATAAAGCTTCATTATTCACCTTATTTGCTGTTACTTATATGATATTAAAATTAATAACATATCTAATAAAAATGATTTTATGTTTAAAGTAGTTTGTAATATTTTAAATACAATTTGTGTTAAGGTAAAGTGGTGTGGTGATAATAATGTACTTGAGTTATAATGTACTTATAATGTAGTTTTATGAGACTGGAATGTGCAACTACAGTTCAACTTAAGTTAACAAAAATTCTACAGCAATAATAAATATAATTACAATTCATTTTGCATTTCAGAGGTCAAAGAGGGTGAATACAAAAACAAGAAAGTTGCATTGAAAGCAATGAACGAATCACAACGCAACTTAGATCCATTTTTAGCAGAAGCATCAATTATGACGTGAGTCAAAGTATTTTTTTTTTTTGGATTGATCAACCATACTGTTCATAGATAGATAAGTTTACTGTTCATTTTGCAAATGTAAAATTAACAAGGAAATCTATTCTTCCATTGGTAAATGCTTAAAAAATAATATAAACTGCATCGATTGAAACAAGTTCACATATTATGTGTTGCTTTTGTTTAGTCATCTATGTTCAAGAACTTTCTTTTATGACCTTATTGTTATTTTAGTAAACAATGTTCTCACCCATACTTTCATATTTTTAGTTCAGAAATCTGCAAGTCTCCAATTATTTTCCAGTTGCTGATAAAACCCATTCCTGTTTCCATTTACTATTATAGAGTGCAATATGGTCATATGTTGGTGATATGTGATGTGTTTTAGTCACATGTTAGTGTTATTAAAAACCTCATGATATTAATACTTGTCATCATTATTCATACATCCTGAACCAATATATCCTTATTATTGGCTTAAAATAAGATATCAAATTTATTACAAACTTATGTATTGCATGGTAAAGAGTAAAATATTAGAAGTTTGAAGTAATTGATATCAGCCAGGTAGATGTAACAGAAATTCTAACACCATTACTCAAAGTTGTGAAACTGAACTTTGACATAGCGTGTGATTAGATATCAGGAAATGCAAACATGTTCATGATATTAATAGACTTACAACAGTTGAACTATTATGTAGGAACATTGCCAAAGGGCCTGAACTAGGGGGATTGAACAGATCTGCCAGCGAGGAGGGGAAGGATTCAATATTAATTTTAGCACTGATATTCTACTTTTTTCCCTGAAGATTTATGTATTAATTTATGAAATATAAAATCTTAGATTCAATTTTTTGCCGAGTCTATAACATTTTTCATTTACTACCACTACTAAGCTTTTTTATCTATCAGTTATTATTTGACAACTCGCTGTATCAAAATTAGTTTTTAATGTAATATTTTAACTTACAATATTTATACACCTTATAACCAACACTAGCAAAGTTCTGAACACTCATGTGTCTATTGTGCTTTACATGCTTTATGTACAAACACAATAGAAAGTAATGTAATATTGCTTAAAGAAAGGAAGCTACATTTAAATTTCTTAATGATGTTGCATGCTAATTGCTGGTGCTTATTGATGGACTTCAGCGGAATCTGCTAGCTTGCAATTTAACTAGTGGTCGTTGTTAAGCTGGAGGCTGCTATTTTTGTACCTCATCTTAATCAAATTTCCTGCAAATTGTAGTAACATAGGGCAAGGTTCAAGCTGAGAGTAAAATGAGCTATCTATTAAATTTGTGATTTCTACTGTATCACTGCACAAGCCCAGTAGAAAGTAATAAAAATATGCTATGCAGTTTTGGTAGTGAATGAACTTTTAAGGGTTATCAAAGTAGCTCATATCTGGATTTAAAAAAAAATAATTGAAAAGGTGTTTATAAGTGTTGCACTTAACACTAAAAAATCAGACGACTCCTGTGAAAACATTAAAACTTAACATGTATAAAATAATGAAATAAAATGTTAGCTATTTTTACGAATTGATAATCTTGATAAAACCTCTCCTGTTGTGTACCCTGAGTGTTTATAGAGAATTTGATATTTTGAAAAGCCCAGCAATATTGCTGACAGGAGAGTATATCAAAAGTATAAAGCCAATCATAATCGAATTGCGTAACTCAGCAGCCTGTTGACAAAGAACGGCAAATGCTTGTAATGTACTTGAGAATCAATTACCGCCAATTTCGATACATCACGATTTATCTATGAGTACTCATTTGAAGTGGCAAATGATGGCTCACTCCTGATGAACTTATTTTCAGCACCAGGTATTTTTATGCAGACATTCTCTATAGAAAAGGAGTTACAACTAACACCAACAATCTTGAGTTTTCAGATGACCAATAAGTGATCACTCCTACAAGACCAGTACCATAAAATTACAGAACAGCAATTTTAAAGAAAGAATGATAACTTTTAATGAGTATTAAGTTTCTTTATATTTTGCAGGCAACTTAGACATCGCAATCTGGTGCAATTGATTGGTGTAGCTCTTGGAAATCCTGTGTATATAGTGTTAGAATTTATGGCAAAAGTAAGCTTTTAAATTTCTTTTATTTTGTATGATCCAACTCATAGTAGTACTATCACAATAAATACAATGTTTATAATGTTTAGTACCCATCAAAAACGTAAGCTTGGACTTAGGTAGTATCAGTGACAAACACAGGAATTCGAAATAGAGGGCCTAAGAAGGGTTTTATGGATGAAGAGTCCAGGCCACATAATCCCAACAATGATTGAGGCTGAGGTACAAAATGTGATGGTTATGGCAACACTAGACAGTTGGAAATACCCTCAGTCTTGAATTTTCAATGTAATTTCTTTTTTATTTTCAAAAAATGTTATGGGACCAACTGGGACTCCAACTTAAATCCGCTCTAAATATTCACACAATGCTGTTGGTAGGTTGTTCACAGAGCAGTCATTGCCACACACTAGTGATCCATAACATACACATGGATGGAGAGAGACAAAATAGGTGAAGCTCTTGTCCAAGAAAACAAGTGAAATGCACAGCAAGGGACTCAATACCTTGAGATTATGAACTGTAGTCGCTACACCAAAGGTTCACAAGTGAAATGCACAGCAAGGGACTCAATACCTTGAGATTATGAACTGTAGTCGCTACACCAAAGGTTCACAAGTGAAATGCATAGCAAGGGACTCAATACCTTGAGATTATGAACTGTAGTCGCTACACCAAAGGTTCACAAGTGAAATGCATAGCAAGGGACTCAGTACCTTGAGATTATGAACTGTAGTCGCTACACCAAAGGTTCAAAAGTGAAATGCATAGCATGGGACTCAATACCTTGAGATTATGAACTGTAGTCGCTACACCAAAGGTTCACAAGTGAAATGCATAGCAAGGGACTCAGTACCTTGAGATTATGAACTGTAGTCGCTACACCAAATGTTAGTGTGAATCAAACTTCCAATACACAATGTGTCATCACATAATTATACTGTACATCGAATGGCCATCAGAGCAATTCACATAAACATTGAGATGCACTACGACCAAGGTTCTACTACAGGAACTCTTGGTGTACTAGAATATTTTTTTAAATATTTTATTAATTGTTTGCTTGCCATCTTAACATTGAAGGAAAATAAACTTACCATATAAAACAATTGAAAATGGCCGACTCCTTTTCTACAAACTATCCTTAAGTACATGATGTATTTTAATTATTTGCATAATTTATTATTGCAGGGAAATTTGTTAGATTATTTACGATCAAGAGGAAGAGCAGTGGTAACAAAAAAGCAGCAACTAGATTTTTCAAAGTAAGTCTATGAAAGTTTTATGATATTCCCTCTTCACTTGTTGGGATTGCATTTAAATTTATTGGCACTCACTAACTGCAACAGATTTAATTATTTTATTTATGAACTAATTATTGAATCATTATTGTACCACCATTTCTACCATTCATTGTGATCAGCAAGATTCATAAATTATGTGTGTATTATTGGTGATACTATTTTTTCCTCAAAGGTTTATTTCATTATATTTTGAATTCAATATTTTGAATTCAACAAGGGGCTAGTTCCTACCTTGCGTAACAAATGTTAATAATGTTGTCTCTATAGAAACATAGCAGCCGGCATGAATTATTTGGAAACTAAAAAATTTATCCATCGGGACTTAGCCGCCCGAAATATTCTGATATCGGAAGATGACACGGCAAAGGTCTCGGACTTCGGTCTAGCTAAGGACGATACAGTGACAATGGATAGTGGGAAGATCCCAGTCAAATGGACGGCACCTGAGGCAGTTAGAAAGAATGTATGTGAACAATCTTGCTATCATTGTGTTAATTTTTAGTGTTGCTAACAGGTTTCCTAGATGTGTGGACAGTATAATTCTTTATTGATATTATCATAATCATCTGCATTATTATTTCTACTATTATTGTTAATATAAGTGTTATTACTATTTTCATTAACACCACTATTTTCATCATTATTAAATAAAAAACAGATAAGCCGTACTAGTCTAATATATAATAGAAAATATAACTCAGGATATTCAGTACTTTTATGACTAGTGTAAGCTTGTGTACTGTCATAAATAAACTAGTCATAAAAGTACTGAATATTCTGAGTTTTATTTTCATCATTATTGTTATTGCAGATATTAACTTAATTTTAATATGTATTTTTACTGTATTATTATTAATATTAATAATATTATCACATTATTATTTTATTATTACTATAATATTATCATTGTAGTATTATTTATATTACAGTACAGGTAATTTAAATAATTTATGTAGATAATTCTGATGTTAATACCAATAGGAAATCAATCATAAATTTACATGTGAATATTTACACATAAACCTACTCAAACAATACACATGTACACCCATGCATACCCACACAGACACACCAATATGGATTTATGCATGGTAAACACCTAGAATAGCCCATGAAAGTCTGAAGAAGACTGTAGTTTCCCAGTGGGGTCGTTCTGGCTATTGTAACTTGCATCTCGGCCCTCCAGCTTAAATACTGGGAGAGTAGCAATGGGAATAGAACCATGGACCTTAATGATTCAGCGCACACACAGTGGCTATCACCAGCTAAGCTGACTGAGCTAAGCTGCTTTCTATATGAATATTGACATGTGTACATACCTACATAAACACAAACCCTCATACACCCATACTTACACATACTGACATATACACGCACTCATACTCACATAAGCACACACATTCCTGAATATTGTTAGCTAATTTTATATTTTGTTTGACAGCAATATTCAGCTAAATCTGATGTATGGAGTTTTGGTGTGTTACTTTGGGAGCTGTATTCTTTTGGTAGAGTGCCATACCCCAGGGTGGTGAGTGATATATTATTTTTATTCAATTCAAGGTTAATTCAAAACAATATCGTAATCACAGCAATAGCCGAATTGGCACAATATTAACATCAAAAACTTAGAGCAAAAACAGAATAAGGCTAAAATCAATTAATATAGAAAGCTAATATAATAATAAATATAAAAAACAATAATTCACAGAGTGCAAAAGAGAGCAGCACGCATAGTTACAAATTGATTATCACACGATACGTGGAGAGAAAATAATAGAAAATTTGTCATGGAAATTATTTGAAAAACGACAGGATTATAGTATTGCATGTTTAATGTTTAACGGCACTGCACCTCCTAGATTTTGTAATGAAATAGAATGGTATTGTAACTCCAAAAGTAAATTTAAATATAACCAAGACCTCACTTAGATATGCTGGTGCAAATGTATGGAATACACTGCCACAGATATTAAAAGCATCGACTAGTTATTTTAATTTCAAATAAACTAAAAGAATATAATTTATAATACAATCTAAATTAAGCTACTGCTTTTAAAATATTCTTAATTTTACAACTTTTATCCTTGTGTATAATGGTATGACTACTACTACTACTACTGAATTATAATATTTTATATGTGATTAAGACATGTACATTAATTGTATTAACTTATTACCTTGTGATCTTTGTTGATGTATTTTAACAAAATTCAATGTATTCTATGTTGTAGATTAAGCTTTTATCATTTTTTAAATTAAGTATCTTTTCATTTGAATTAATTTAAACAGGACCATTTTAAAAACTGACTGTTACATCATGTCTGAAATTGTATCCTGTATAAATATGTTTTTAAATAAATAAAAATAAAATAAATAAAAACATATAAAAGTCAAGCAGAAATAACAAATATAAAAAACAGATAAAGGACATGTCGGAACAAGCTTGCACTACATTTAATTGTTTCATTCATCAATTTGACCATGAACGGAATTGGGATTTGACTGTGCCATTTGGTATGGACGTTGGGCATAGATAGTGAATTGACATTTCTGAGGGAGATACCACTTTCTTTGGATTTTAATTTTGGTAACCAGTTACGGAATTTGTTAGACTTCATTAGTGATTTTTCTTTAATTCATCTAAATTACATTCAATAAGAGCTGTATAAAATGATCTAGCAGGCTTTTTTCTGGATATGTGTACATATGTTTTAGCTTATTCATAAGTTTTCTGTTGTTAATATTCATGCTATTATGTGAGTACAGTAGACTAATCTTTTTCAATAGACGTGTATTACTTTGACCATAAGGCATCAGATTAGTCTGAAAAATATGTTGCACTTATCATTTTCAATATATGCATACAATGCTAAAAGATAAGTACTGTACTGTACTTGCAATAATACCTGGATAAAACAGAATTGTTTTTTTTGTTTTTTTTAAATTGAAAACGAAAGAAAATGAGAAATAATAGCTGAACAAAAATAGGAATGTTTCTGCTAGCAAGTATTGTAAAAACTTTGTCGGTTTATATCTTAACAGCCTGCAGATAACGTCATAGCTTATATTGAGGAAGGTTGCCGTATGCAAGCCCCTGAAGACTGTCCTGATCACATATACAAAATAATGGAACAATGTTGGTATTTGAATCCGGAAAGAAGACCCACATTTAGTCGCATATGTGACCTGCTTGAGTGCTTAACACCATTCTTCTCATCTTGAACAGCTTACGGTGCATATTCTAAACTCTAACTGCACTGACATTTTGACAAGAAGCATGTCAACACTAACTTTTCCACAAACCTGTTGCAAAAGGAGGATTGTTCCCTTTTATGTAGGGTGTAAATCATTTTCTCAACACTCTTCAACCAAGGAGGTAATGAAGAGCATGCTGGACTGATATATACTGTTTCTGAGTTTTCAAATACTATATTGTTTTATATTTATAGATAAATTGTTTTGTTTTAAGAAAAACTTATTTGTTAAGTGTGTGAACATAGTGCAAATTGTGCACATGATCTTGCAAAACTTATTGGGAGCTTACAATTGCGTTTCCTGTTTTCTTGCCTTCCAGCGTATTGTTGATTGCTCTTCTCCTGTTTCTAAAATCAATAGAATGGATTTAGGATGATAGAGATTGAATTAAAAGAGATCAAATAAGTTAATTGTAAATGCGATGGAAAATATTTGAGTATGCAAGAGATGGGATCAGTGTAATGGAGATGGGAAGAGTATGATAGAGATGATTTGGGATTAGTATGATGGAGCTGAGCTGGGATTGTCAAGGTTAATATGTGGGTATAATAGAGTTGAGATTAAAAAGATGAAGGTGGAAATATGTGGGAGAAATGGGATTTTTAATGTTTAATCATAGGGTCTGTTGTTTAATTTTTGATGTTCTCGTCAAGTACATAGACTGATTGCTTCTCTAAAATTGAATGAACATGCTGTCATTTTTCAAACTTTAAGTACTGTTCATTGTAAATTTGTTTAACGTAAGAGAAATTAAATCAAACAATTAAATGTTTCAACCATTACTTAAGCTTAAACTTGCATGTATTTGAGTTTTAACAGTGGTGTAAACAATTAGATGCTTGCACCACTGCTTCAACTCAAATACATGTGGAAAATGAATGAATTGACTTAAGAATTAATTTTATACTATTTATGCAAATTTTTAAAATTATAGTTTATTATGTTTCAAAATATTCTCCAGGCATGCATTTGGTATTTGATACCAAATATGGTGTCCTGTCCAGTGATCTTTTTGGCACCTAGATGCTTAAAATTTTAATTCCGAAGACTGTGAGTGGAGTTTTTCCACTTTAGGACCAAACTTCATTGTTTAAAGCTCTTGTTCTGAGCTCATTTCAGTAATTGCTTGCCACGTGCTAAAAGTATCATCTCGGCATACGAGTCTGCAACAATTTTTTGGTTGAACCCTCTGACAATAAATTGGAGGAATTTGCCATTCTGTTGCAGGGCACTTTATCCAAATTGTCTGTCTCTGCCTGGGAGTGGTAGTGAGTGTAAAGTTTTGGATACTATTAGTGCCAAGAATTACTTACTGCCACAATGTGGTAATACTGACCAGAGTTGAGCAAGTGTTCCACAGGCTCTAATTCATTATATTTTAAATTATAAGAGATTGCCAGAATTTTTTCTTAGTTTTCTATCATTAACTTTTCTATTTTTGAAATACTATATTAGTTTTTCATTTTGTTTGTATTTACATTACTTGTACTCCTTAATACAATTCACATGTGTGCACAAATTAGCATAAAAAGTGTATATTGTGTGGGGAATGTTTTGGTTATATATAAACCATTTTAATATTCATAACGATTGCTTCCTTTGTAATTTATATTACATTATATCTATTTTAGTAATTTGTTTGTGTTGAAGGTGCTAGCGAAAAACCAATCTCTAAACATGTCATTTGAAAGCAGTGTGAATCTCCATCAATATCCATTCCCACATATATGCAAATTTAGTTACAAATGAAATGTATGGACTTCAAATGAAATGTATGGACTTGTGCTTTATAGATTGAATTCTACTTAATAATATGTAACTTAATTCTTGAAAAAGGTTAACAATACTTAAAGTATATAATAGTTGATCAATGGACATATGTAAATGAGCTATATTCTAGATCAAGGCTGAATTACCTCACTGTAGGTTTGCTTTAAATTTCAAATATGCATAAAATATGAGAAACAGAGTTAACAGTATATGCTTTACTTTCTTTTTGTCTCAATACACATATTGGACTAAATGTGAACAGGACTCTTAATGAATCATATCATGACTCCCAATGACTGAAGCGCGACTCGCAAAATGAATTCCATTTCACTTTTGCGAGTTCCATCAATGTTTACACTGTGTTGATGCAATGCGATCACATCACTACTACTTACTGTATTTGTAACTAGACTTCATGTGTGATTTGTATCTTAGTGCAGCATGACATGAAACCTAGATGTATACAATACATATCTTTATTATTTTGGTTGGGAAAAATATGTAATGACAGTACAGTATATATAATATAAAAATAAATTACACAGTTTGCATGACAGAATGTGAATTTCTGATTTTTCTGTTTTTGTTAATTTCATTTCTTAGGTTTCTATGCATATTGTGCCTTAGTGTTACTCCACGTAGGTTTATGAACGAGTCCTGTATATTTTCATAGTACATGTACAGTATTTGTGTAGGACCAGGCATCATGTCTCCTTTATTCAGCAAATGGAGTAATGTGAATTCATTTGTATCACTTCCATCTTTTGCGGATTAGCGATAGGGCTATTTGAATATTATATTGTTCGCCATACCTTACTACAAGCAACCATCATAGTTCATGTCAATGTTCAATGTAAATTAGATGAATAAATATGAAAGAAAAGTTGATTTTCTTGTATTAATTACAATACCGTACCTGCGTGAAGAAGCGCCGGGGCACTTATTCAAACAAGGCGCTTATGGAAACTTGGAAAATTTCAAGGGGCTCTTTTTGAATAAAAAGATAAAAGACTAACCCTATAATGAGCGTATAATGTATGCCAAGGCATGACCAAAGGGAGACTCGCTCTGACCAATAGCTTGCCACATGTAATCCTCTGCTGGTGATGCCACTTGAAATAGGTACCTAAATTGCAGCATGGATCATAGATATTTAAATCAGTAAATTAAGACAAGTCCGTTGCGATGAAGTGCCAACCATAAGCCAGTTTTCCACTAAGCGAATTTATTTGCTCGAAAGTGTTGTTAATGCGTATTCACATTTCTATCGGAGTTTTCGAAATTGGTAGTTCGAACTGTTTCTACTTTTTGCGAAGGGAAAAATGTGCGCAACCAATCAGAGCTCAGGAACTGAACCGACGCCTATAGTGCAACTGCAATTTGTTCCTTTCTAGTATTGACATTCTATGTACTCCAATCCACACTGCAAATAATGAACTATGGGCCCGTTCGAGCAAAAAACGCCAACCGTATTCCTTTTATTTCACCGGGTGGTCGACCGTTCGAGCAAGTTTTAGCTCACGGTAAATACATGTAACGAAACTACTCCGGAAGTAAATTTCAACTTATCCCATGGTCAACAACCCATTTTGGTTTACTTGCTACTGCTGCTATAAACGGCCCACGTACACACAGTGCGGCACGGTGGAACGATAATGTAGCTCAATAACTTATAACTAAAATAAAGCTATGCTACTAAATTTAGATTTCGTCGTGCATGTGTGATGAGACGAAGGAGAGCTGCAACCATGCCAGGGCCGTAACCTATTTAATTTAGCGCTGGGCTGTGGACAAAACCTCCGGCTCCATGGTCATTCCATACATGGTATTCTACCCAACAATTTGGTGGTCAAAATTGTCGCGGATAATCCAGATGGTAAGGTAATTAGACTAGTGTCCGAGCAGTTTTAGAAAGTGTGTACCGGTAAATTAACCAGTAAATCGCATGAATATTTTTTCGCTCAAACAGGCCCTATGTGCAAACCAATGCAAATAACGGGTGTATCGTGCAGCTGTCGGTTACCCCGGGCAACAGTGAGATCTACACGCCATACTTAAAGCAAGACATTTTATAACTTGTATTACTAACTACTGCCTGCCTATGTATGGTATACAATGGGAGCGGTTGGAGCAGCCATTGCATTTTGGTATCTTAACCTTGAGGTCGGAGGTTCGAATCTTTGCCGTGAATTTCACTTGTGCCCTTGGGCAAGACACTTGACCTATGTTTCCCTCTCTCGACCCAGGAGTATAAATGGGTACCTGGTAGGATGATGTGGCATTGCATGTGTTAGTCTGTATCATCATTATATTGCAAGCACGACTAATACTCCCCATGGAGGTTGTATCCCTTGACAAAAGGTGTGGTACAGTATTAATCCCTATATTATTATTACAATGTTTTCAAATTTCAGGAATACAACTTTTTGTTGAAAAACTCCACCTAAAAAAATTTTTTTTTTCTAATTTTTTCTGATGGTATTTAAAATATACAGCTTTCAAAAGTTATAAAACTCTTGTCTACAACATATGCATGCAATACAAACACTTGTCTATTGTACCAGTCTTTATTAATTTTTTTTCTTATAACACTTATCTTTACTTAGAATGCTTCTGATATCCCACATAATGCTCAACTTTGTTAATGTGAATAGACTTAATAATTTTTTATTTCTTCTACCGCATCTGAGGATCTTCTGATGCACTGTATTGGCCATATCTGGTGTAATGCATTGGCAGTTTAAGGGTGCCTTGAACATAATATAGCATGAATAATTACATTGAAAACATAAAAAATGTCATCTCTTAAAATCAGTAAATATTAAATTATCTTATTTGAATAAGTTAGCATATCAGAAAACTAGCCATCATTATATTAAGTATGGTTTTAGCGCCAACTTATTAAGAGCGTTGTTTAAAGTTTATCCAAGTATTTGTCAAGCGCGGGCATAACCTCTGGCAATCCCTTTCTTTTTCGGATCCCTTGGAGTACAGTGCTTGCCTTGGAATTGCCTCCCTCAAGAGGGTCTCCTGGTAGAATCTGCCAGTGATCAAACACACACTGTGGAAATGCCTGCCCTCCAGTGTTGGATCGAAGATCTGCAGTAAAACCTGGAAATATAAAAATAATAATAAATAGCATCGACAAAACAATACACACTTTGTTACCCGTATCCCTACACATTTCATATATTGCCAATATACAAACATGCCCATACAATGAAACAAAATATACAATATCAAGGAAATTAGAAAAAAAACAAAAAAAAAATCTGTGTGACAGGATTCCCTGAACGCAAGTTCTTAAATTTAAATCGTATTTTCATCAGTTAACCAGGAAAACAAAATTAATCATATTATATGCATTTAGTTCTTAAAATAATCTTTCCATAGTGTAACAGCATAATTAAAAATTAACGTCTCTTGTTTAACTTTAGGAAAATAAATGAGAATTTAAATGCATCAGTTTGTGTAATATAATGTTTAAAACATAAATGATGACATGTTTCACTTTTGTGCAAAACAGCATCTAGTAAATTTTGTCCGGACCTCTCCAACAAATGTAGCGTTTTAAGTGGAATCCAAGTACTGACGAACATCACACAAATTATCACTAACATATCAACTTGCAAACAGTTTCTCGGTAACAATTCCAGCAATTTTTACTGTACAGCTAAGAATTCCTAGAATAAGAGCTAAACAAAAAATGTGCGGGGATCTTGTGACACAGTTGCTATGAGTAAGCAGACTTACCAAATGATTCGTTGACAGGAAGGAAAGCTTTGACAACAAACATGGGAGTTCCTGGTGTTTGGGCTTCAGACACTACCATACCTCTGCGTCTGTTCAATACACCATATATACCACCAACAGCATTTTCTGGGCACTAAATATTAAAAATAAATAACTTTTTATAATATTTCAAGAAAAAAAACTACATCAAAAAAATAATAAATAAGAAAGCAGACAGGATGCACACAAGCAGGTCTTCAGTGCCGATCTGGAATTTGGGTACCCATCCCAATTTGCATCACATGCAGTTAACCGCATTTCGCTACTCAAAATCAGGCCAACACCTCATTTGCATGGGACAAACCAATTAGCACGGTAAGCTAAACTTTGTTTAAAAAATATCTAATACACTAATGTAATTGGCAAACCACTAAACTACAAGCACTCACCTGGATCTCTACTTGGTATACAGGCTCATAGATGCGGGGAGATGCAGTTAGCATGCAGGCGTACAGAACCCTTCTTGCTGTTGGAATGATCTGGCCACCTCCACGATGAATTGCATCAGTGTGTAGGGTGACATCATGGATGTTGAAGCGTACACCCCTAACATTCTCTTCACAGAGGACACCCTGTGTAACAAGTCATAACAAATGTTGTTTAACATATTGCACTGCAAAATTATTTGTGTGAAATTCATTATATGTATTTTAGTTGTAGGTGAGATTTATAAAATTGTATTATTTTAAGTAGTTGACCTGTTTGATAACATTGCAATTTAATTGCAATGGTGAAAATTAAATTTTAAAATGTCATTTCTGGGTCATTACTAAGTTAGCAAATAAAGCACTATGTATGTACATCTACCTGTACATGCTGGTGAGATAAAGCACCATGTATGTACAAGTACTGTACATCAACCTATACACCATGGTACAGATAAAGCACCATGTATGTACAAGTAAAGGTACATCTACCTGTACATCATGGTACAGATAAAGCACCATGTATGTACAAGTACATCTACCTATATACCATGATACAGATAAAGCACCATGTATGTACAAGTAAAGGTACATCTACCTATATACCCTGGTACAGATAAAGCACCATGTATGTACAAGTAAAGGTACATCTACCTATACACCAAGGTACAGATAAAGCACCATGTATGTACAAGTAAAGGTACATCTACCTATATACCATGGTACAGATAAAGCACCATGTATGTACAAGTAAAGGTACATCTACCTGTACACCATGGTACAGAAAAAGCACCATGTATGTACAAGTAAAGGTACATCTACCTGTACATCATGGTACAGATAAAGCACCATGTATGTACAAGTACATCTACCTATATACCATGGTACAGATAAAGCACCATGTATGTACAGGTCCAGGTACATCTACCTGTACATCATGGTACAGATAAAGTACCATGTATGTACAGGTACCTGTATATCATGGTACAGATAAAGCACCATGTATGTACAAGTACATCTACCTATATACCATGGTACAGATAAAGCACCATGTATGTACAAATAAAGGTACATCTACCTATATACCATGGTACAGATAAAGCACCATGTATGTACAAGTAAAGGTATATCTACCTGTACATCATGGTACAGATAAAGCACCATGTATGTACAAGTACATCTACCTATATACCATGGTACAGATAAAGCACCATGTATGTACACGTAAAGGTACATCTACCTGTACACCATGGTACAGAAAAAGCACCATGTATGTACAGGTACCTGTATATCAAGGTACAGCTACCTCTACATTATGGTACAGAAGGTACAGCTACCTGTACATTGTGGTAAGGATAAAGCATCATGTATGAACATGAGAAATAAGCAATGTAAAATCAAAAGCCTTGCTATGGTAAGCAACAGTGGGCCAAGAGGCTAAAAAGAACTATAACATGTAAAACTACTTACCTCTTTTGTTGCCCAGTTGAATCCAGCGACAACACTGTCTTTTATCTCATTGAGGTATTGCACTCCCTTTGTGACATCGACTACTAAGTTTGGACCAGTTCCTTCAGGTCCAAATGCCCAGATTTTACGTGCTTCAGTTGGGTCATAACCAAAGTTATCTGCGAGGTACCTAGCTCTGGTCTTTGGATCATTTCTTGGAGTGACATCACCCTAAAGGAATAAATGCAAGAATAAATGCAAAAATATAAAGTATGGCAGATTGGAGTGTATGTGTATATACATACATATATACTTTTAGTTTTATAAGAAGTCACCAAACTACTGTACCATACGTAAAAATCAGATGAAGATTTTATAAATTTTAAAGTACTCCTGCCAATTTGAAAACAACATTGGTTTCAGCACAACAAAGTTTCACAATATGTGTAATTTATTAATTGTAAATAAGGTATCTGACGGCCATAATGAAAAACAGCATTGTATTTCTTGATTTGTGCTTTGTGAATAAATGAAGTTTTACTACTTCAATATCCAGTAGCAAATCTGTACATTTATGTATAAAACAGGACTTGTACATCTTTTTCAATTTTTACAATATTTTACTTATGAAAAGATTACACAAATCAATAATGATGTTGGTAGACTATGAGCGAGATACTTGGATAAACCCTAATTGCCTATTCAGGATTTCAGGAAGATTATGTTTTCAAATAAGGAAGTATTAAGGGTTTCTGGGATGTTCAAGTATAGTGCCAGTGGCTACTGCTCACTTTATTTATGAGGGATGTTCGTACTTGAGAGAGAGTAGGCCATTAATTAGTTCATCCAGGCTAAGTACTGTAAGTACATCAACTTTGTCTTACGTTATCAATGGCCTCTGGCAAACCATCAGGCATATTTGTACATTTCATGAATAGACGATTGTGCTTATTTGGAGACTTGGACAAACACATCCTGTCCGATTCGTTCTCAACAGTTTCTCTGTACGAGACCACAGGGTCCGACTTTTTCAGGGGAATGCAGGCATGATCTTCTTCCAGATCTTTTAGGCAGATTTCCAGATGGAGTTCTCCGGCACCGGCAACAATATGTTCACCAGATTCTTCAATAGTGCACTGGACCATAGGGTCAGACTTAGATAATCTTTTCAAACCTTCCACAAGTTTTGGTAGATCAGATGGGTTCTTGACCTCAACAGCAACACGCACAACAGGACTGACACTGAATTTCATAACCTGCAGATGAAAATACATCTTTAAAGTGAATTAAACAACATGCGTTCTTTTACAAACATCAATTGTAATACTCCTTCATAGGCTTAACTCGTTTAAAACATGCAATTTTCCGTAAACTGTTATAAATCTAAAGCCTCAACAGAACCAATTGTACACAGTTCTATTCACTCAACTTGCCTTCAAATTATGAGCCTTTTCGTAGGTTGTAATGGTTCCGGTCTTGACAAGGTACTGATCAACACCAACAAGACCAACAATGTTACCGCACGGTACATCCTCAATCGGCTCGATGTAACGTCCCATCATCAGTACAGTCCTATAAACATCACAAAAGATAAACTATTATATTCTGTAAGTATTTGGGAATTTACTGAGTATTAGTGAATACTCAGTAAGTGCGATAATACGTCAGGTAGAGTAAGACATCACTCCTATGGAACTTCCTGACATAAAACAACACTGAAATAAACTATATTGTCCCTGTCACTGTATATTAAATTAGTCATCAACTAATTGTTCATGGATTTAAAGTATCATTCCTTTAGTCTGAGGAAATATGGGAATAAACCCTATAAAATTCAATATAAGATCCTTCAATTACTAGCCAATCGAAGGGTCTAAACAAGACATTACATTATTTATTAGTAATTTTTAAAACGAAGAAAACAACTATGATTTTTTTCCAAGTTGAATAACTGCAAAGTTCTCAATTGTGTGATTCAATGAAAATCTAGATGTGACAACTGTCCAAATATTATGAGCACATTACACATTACAAAGTGTGATGGGTGTTATGGGTGTAGCTTAAAGCCCCATTCCCAGCAAAATCTCAATTTTTAAGAAAAATCTGTTTTTATATGTTAGAAAGATTTATAAATATAGTACAGAATTGCTAGTTTAACTGAATTTAGACATTCCTAAACATGAAAAAAATGCAAAATAAGACTCAAATTTGATTTTAAACAAGGATGAATTTTCTAGGTTTCATTTTGCGATAGGTCTAATCTACTGGTGAAGAAATACAGTAGGCGTCTGAAACAGTAGCCTAGCAACACTGCTAGGCTAGGCCTTGCAACACTGCTAAGCTATATGCATTTTTCCTGAAAATTATTATAGCGTAATTTTGTTGGGAATGGGGCTTTTAAGTATGTGGATTAAGGTGTGTGGTTTAAGACACGAGTATGTTCTCTACCTCTGAATTGGTTTCACATAGAGATCTTCCTTCTTGCCTTGTACAAAGTTGGGCCCCATAAGCCTACACTTTTGACCAGTGGCAACAGTACCAGAGAAGACTCTGCCAAATGCATAGAATCGTCCTCTGTCAGAAGTTGGCACCATCTTGGAGATGTACATCATCAGAGGTGCATCAGGGTTGCAGTTCTTGATACCAAGAGCAGCGGGGTCGTCATGGGGTCCTTCGTAGAGTAGTTCCATTCGGTATTTTTGAGCGGTGACAGGTGATGGTAGATGTATTGTTATCATCTGGAGTAGGGCATCACCAGCTGGAAGCCACTTGCGCATCACAACCTGCGCAAACAAAAAGGGTATGAGTCCCTACATTCTGAATCAGAAGCATTAATGGAAGGTTACTGTACAGCAACAAATGAGACTCTAAATAAGCAGAACCTTTTTTTTTTCTCACCTTAAGTAGAGGCTTGCCTTCAAGATCTTTTTCTTCACTTGTCAATTTGATATTAAGCTTCTCCATCAATTGCTGTGTAACATCCTTCTTGAAGTTCATGATGGCGTCAAACATCTAAAAACAAAAATTAATTTCATAATTCTTTTTAACTTGCAAGGCTGTCCCGCTTTAACCAATAGTAATCCCTTATTAGCCTTCAAGAATATCTCAGATAAATTTTTAATACTTAATATAATTAAGAGGGGATTTTATTTTCCATACTGGGTACGCAAACATGTTTTAGTACCAACCTTGTAGATAGGGTCCAAGACAAACTGATTGAAACCACGAACGTAGCCATCTCCAGCCACCTTGGCCCATTTCTTTAGTTTGGGGTTGAAGAACTGGTCACCCCAGAGACGTTTCATCAACTTGGCAGGTTCAATCTTGAACTTGGAGCTGTATATCTCTGCAAACTGTTTGAGTGTAAAGGCCCATCCATGAAGCCCTGAACCAAATCCAACAGTTCCTTTTGAGGTGTCAACCTAAAGCATACAATTTAAATTAACTTTACTGTATGAAAGTCACAAATTACATTATAATACAGAAGAGCATTCAATAACACTTAGCAAAGAAAGTGCTGTCCAAGTCATACAATATATACATTCCTACACCCCTTCCCCCCACCTAAACAATATGCATGGGGCAACCGATGGTTGACCAGAATTAAGCCTAGGATTATGGTCTTAATTTTAAAAACAAACAATTGAACTGACCAACATTAATTTTTAATGTTCATTCTGCTTGGGCAACGGCAATTTGTTCTAACATAAATCATTTTTGTCACTAAACATTTTTTATAATTTTATTATTCTTAATATATACCGGTATGACCTAATAAATTCCAAACTGGCGTCTGTTTTGTTTATCAATCAAAAATTTACCATCTCATATACCTAACCTATACACAAAAGCTACTGAACTTCTTCATCACAACACAAGATTTTATTCAAATAATTGTAATATAATACTCTTATAATTAAATTTAAGAACCATCTACTGTATCAATTATTCTTAATAATATTCATTATACTGTACCTGGACTTTTTATATTTTGTTTTTATATAATCTGAAGTAGTGTTATGACTTTTTTTAAATTAATTATTCTTATCATGCATACTTCATTTTTTTAACTCTGTTCCTTGGAGTGGAGTTGAAAAGCTTGGTGGTTAAGATGCTTGCCTTCCAATCCCAGGGTCCTGGGTTCAACTCCTGTCCGTGTTGCAGGATTTTTTCTCATGACCAAAACAACTCCACTCCCTAAATCTCATATTGAGATTTATCTCATATTGAGATTTAGTTTGTGTAAAGCATCGTACGTGTATGTTTGTCTTGTGTAAGGGATTGTCACCTACAAGTAGGACAGTGATATATTCGCTATTGACAATCCTTGGCACATGTATTGTGTGCCTAAATAAATAATAAAAATAAAATTAACTTATGTAGTCTCATTCCCTTCAACTTATTGTTTCTTGTCTGAATACTTTTCTCATGTATATTTTTTATGGTTGTGGAAGTTTATTTGATTGATTGATGGATTTATCAGAATCAAATGCATACATCAAGCCACCACTATCAATTTCAAGGCAACAGCAAATAATACACTCGAACAAATCACATAAAACATACCGTTTCAGCACATCACACTAAACCCAAGTATCGCCCCTCTTCACACGTAACATGTACAGTAGAACCCCTCATTTACGTACGGCACGGCCCAGAGTCGTTCGTAAATTCGGGGTTGACCAAAATTCCTATATAATTGCACTGGTACTACTTACACTGGCACAAACTAGACCTAGGCTAGGCCTACAGGCTTACGCAGCTAAGTCTGAGGGGGCCTAGGCCTACAGTTGGCAGCTTCTAAGCATTCTGATCCCACTCTAGGCCCTGCACAAATTTGTTTTTATAGGACATTTTTACCTTCTTAAATACCTAGATTGTGGGTTTTATTCCAACACAACTTCCATAGATACTTGTTTATTATTGATCATTCAATAAAACAATCAAGCACTATGTTGAAT